AGAGAGAGAGAGAGAGAGCAGCATGGTCCATCCCCTGTTCACATCAAGAATAGGCAATGGGGGCAACCCAGTGTGTCTGTGTGTGTCCACACCAAGAGGTAGGCCTGGCTAAGCTCAGCATGCAGGATAAAGATTTGGGCTGGTACAGAGAATGCCACAGTGGCTTCCATCCATCCGTATACTGCTAAACATATGTGCTCACCATCAACCTCATAGCCTCACATGGAGAAAAGCACACAGCTGGATTAGATTCTAAAAACAACCTATTTATTTATCTCAACCCCCATGTCGCTCTGAGCATGTGGGTTGGGTTCAATGCCTACATGATGGACATGTGAGTAGGAAGGGGGCTAACGTGTAGAAATGTGTGTATACAGTTGCTGTTTCCCAATAAAAGAAGATTTAATGGGATTTTCTTCCTTTAAAATAGATTGGAATGACTCAATTACCACAAGATGCCTCTTCTAAGAAAAGTATAACTGGCATTAGAGGAGAATAGATAATGAATTTCCAGGCAACTCTCAACCCTCTAGACTGTTGTTAACCCTTTCTTCAAAACCCCCACCGCACACAAACACATCCTTTCTTCTGATCAGGTCCCAGAGTCGTGTGCTCAGTCAACTGTGAAATAATTGCCCCTTTCCTGTGGGGCGCTCCTGCTATGCCACCGGATTCCAATCTGTATGTGTGCCTGTGAGCGTGTGCATGTGTTTTGGTTCATGTGTGTGTTAATGTTTGTGTGCGAGCATGCAGATCAAGCAGAAGGGGAGCCAGCCCCCTCAGTGGGTGGGACGATGGGGGAGGCGGGGGTGCGGATTGTTAGCTTTACACAGACAAATACACCCTTTGTTTTTTTTTCCTGGCATGCGTTATGTCGCCTGCTGGAGACAGCGTCCATTTGGCGCAATTGGTGTTGGAGCCAAATGTGTTGCTGGCCTCTGTAGTAAAGTAATATGGTAATAGTGTGTTAACCCCCTCAGTTACAGTGGCAGAGTGGAATTATACAGGAATTTTATGTGTGTGTGTGTGTGTGTGTGTGTGTTAGAGAACGTGCAAGCTGTTAACCTCTTTGCCCTGTCCGTCATCATCCCCTACCTCCTTTCAGCAGGGAGTGTGTCACTCAATATAATGCATTGGAGAACACGCATGCACACACACCCTCCTGTCATCCATCATCAACACTCTCATCCACTGCAGCTGTACAGCTGCATCTGGCCTTAGCCTGTGGATTTTAGACTCACAGAAAGAGGAATAAAGACAAAATGGACAGAGAGAGAGAGGAGACAAAGTGTTGGTATAAACTTGAACAGTACAGTGTATGAAATTCTCAAAATGTCTTGAAAGGGCCTTGACAGGAAAAGTGCTCATAAATTGTTCGCTCAGTTGAGTGATGTCTTGAAGGATATGTGATTTTTATTATGACTTGGCTTTTGGCCATTATTTTTACTGGTTATGATGGCAATGTACTTAGTAGTAATTTGCTAGAAGAACTGGGAACACAGCAAGAGTGCTGTGAGAACCATAAGTGTTCAGATGATCAGACCGGTTGTAAACAAGACAAAAATCGGTCTGCAAACTGTGATGGATAGTGATTTTACAGTTTGTGTTTGTTTTCTCTTCCAGTTACGTTAGGCTAAACTGGGACTTTGTTAAAAACCTGTATGATGTGACAGTGACAACTTAGAAGAGTTCTCCACCGATTCAGTATTTAACTACTATAACATCACTCACAATGGATAGTTTAAAACAAATAATGGTATTTTTTTTTATTCCAGAGATTCCACAATGCAACTCAACCGCTGATAGTTCAGTTGGAGATTCAAGTGTGTTATATTATGTATTGGACCTTTTAACCTCGAGCTGCTAGCCTCAGTCAAAGATGAGGTGCGGGCTACAAACGTTTGGTAAGCTGACATCTTTCAAACCCTGCACCTCCCAGATTTTTTTCTTTTTCAGCCCCAACTGACTCTGAATCGTCAGTTTATCCAATTTCTTAACACATTTTTTCCACTTATGCAGTAGTACTCCCCAATTCTTGTAAACACACTTTGGTGTGTGAAATATTTGGAGTCCCCCTTTAAGTTTCTTGCCCCCACTGACTTGTGTCAGGTTATTACTTTGTCCAAATGGAAATAAGACCAAAATTATGATAAACAGTAATTATCCTTAAAGGAAACCATGCGTATTATTGGATTAGAGCGCTTAAGACTGCTTGCTTTAATAGTAACACAATAATCAATTTCATTCAAACTCAGACATCCATTAGAGAGTTGGTGTT